AATAAGAACTATATGTGTATGTATAGCACTGATGCCACTGAACATGTCGAGTGGTTGAAAGTAAAATAAATATTCAGGAATAATACTTTTACAATTTTTGTAAAATTGTATGTTGCGTTATATTAACTTATTTACATCAACTGCAGTACTTAAGCAGGCACAACTTAACAAAATAAAAGAGTTCCTGTGCCTCAACACAATACCTCTCATTATTTGCTGTGTACTGGCAAAGTGAATAATTGTTATTTTCATGCACCCCATTATTGGTTGGTTGTGAGGAGTGTTGATTTGTATAAGCTTGGCTTGACCATACTAAATGGGCATATAGCCCTGCTCCCCATGACCGCCGTGCATGGGACCGGAACTTGGTCTTATTAAAAAAAAAAAAAAAAAATGGACCTACAGCATTTCTAGTTGAGGACCACTGCAGTAGTCGATGCGGGAGGAGATGATGGCGTGGATGAGGGTTTGGGCGGAAGTGAAAGAAAGTGAGGGGTCGAGGCGAGAAATTTTCTTGAGGTAGAAGAAAGCAGTTTTGGTCATTTGGGTGATGCGTTGGTTGAAATAGAAATTATTGTCAAAAAGGACACCAAGGTTGCGACAGTGAGAGGAGGTGGACAGGGTGGAGTTGTCGATAGTGAGGTTAAAGTTGGAGGCTGTTTTGGGTGGGCAGTTAAGAATGAGAAAGTTTGTTTGCATCCAGGATTTGATATCAGACAGGGTGGAGTGGTTGTTGGGGTGAACGATTTGGTGGAGATGTATAATTGGACGCCAACAGTCTAACAGTGGAAGCAGAGACCTTGATGATGACGAATGATTTGGCCGAAGGGGAGAAGGTAGAGGATAAAGAGAAAAGGGCTGAGTACAGAGCCCTGGGGGACACCTTGGGACAGGGGGGCAGTGGAGGAGGAGCAGATGCTGATGTGAATGAATTTGTTCCTGCCCGTGAGATATGAGTGAAGCCAGGTGAGTGCATTGCCTGTGATGTTGAGGGATTGAAGGCAAGAGAGTAGGATGGAGTGGTTGATGGTGTCGAAGGTGGTGTTAAGGTCAAGGAGGATGTGGATGGAGAGTAGGCTGGAGTCAGAGGACAGGAGGAGGTCATTGGTGTTTTAAGGAGGGCAGTTTCGGTGCTGTGTCGTGTGCGGAATCCAGATTGAAATTGTTACAAATACCCTGTCTTAAAGGGATGTGTGCAGGGATAATTTTCAAAACACACATGAATGAGGGTGTAAATCTAAATTGTAAACGACCAACTAAAATTTTTGACGCTCTTGCTTGGCACATATAATTTACAGTACATTCGTGATCACGTTAATGAACAAACAAGCAATGAAAGCAATACTTCTCGTTTTGTTAGTTAATGGCTATTTCCCGGTTCTTAGGCTGTTGGAAGTTTCAAAAGGCATGAGTGGACAGAAAGTTACATGAAATTGATATTGTGCCTCAAATAGTAAAACTCAAAAAGATTTCATCTACTTTTATCCAGATCCTCATTTCAAACTATGGTTCTCGTCTGTAACCTTTCAGGGAGCCCTCCAAGGTTTCATGATTAATTGGTTAATTATGGCTGAATTTTCCTCACTAACCAATAAACTAATCAACAGACTATTCATTCAACTTTGCATAATTTCCCTTACAGGAATAATAAAGCTGTACATCATTCAATTTCGAAGCTACTCGGCCATTTATGAAAAAAAAGAACCTTTTATTAAGCCATTTGCCTGATATGACTTTGCATTCATCTTTCTGCAATGTAACTGCATGTGAATATGTGCAGTGCACTTCTAAGAAGACATCATTGACATCGAAATTGTCCAAAGGGCATTCAGATTAATTGCAATTTATGCAGAGCAGTCTGATCACCAAAAGGGCTGTTCAAGGCCATGCATTATGCTGTGAGCGTGATGGATGGACAGTGAGTGCAGTCCAAGTAATCCCCAGTCGAAGACTATGCAACTAAATAGCACAGTTAGTTTTTGATATGGACTAAAACACTCACCCACATAATTGGTTTTGTGACACTGACACGATCGTTACTTGTTTGGGCGGTCCTTAAAGGGACTGCAATTATTTCTACCCCGTTACCAAATAATCGTGAACTCTCTGACAAGCATATGAACATTGCATTCACACATTTGCAGTTGGTGGTGAATTATGTACACAGAAGTCACTACAACAGTTCGTTTTTGATATGGACTAAAACACTCACCCACATAATTGGTTTTGTGACACTGACACGATCGTTACTTGTTTGGAACTATTTTGTGTGGAAGGTTACCGTGTTCCGTGTCCATATAAATAAAGGGGGTGGAGCTTCTCTGTGTTTGTCTGACAGTGACGGTGCGCTGAGAGTAGACACGTCGAGAGTTCAGCGGTGCAGTCGTAGCGACCACACTGAAAATAAAACGTCTCCAGTGTTGTGCGTGCCTCGAACCAAGTGTAGTCATCTGAAATGATGTCTACACAGTACCAAAGCGAGACTTCTACGCAAGAAGGACCAACAGAATCAACGGAGCCTGACTGCTGTGTTCAAAGCAAACTTGAGAAAAACGAAATATGCACCCATGGCTTAAATACACTATAGGCTGAGTACTAGTTTACCTTAGATGTGCACTTTATAATTTTATATTGCTCTGTTTCGATTCCCGAAAAAGAGCTGTTAAAGTAGCTGTTGTGTGGCAGAATATTTTTTTCACTGTTGTTAATAGACAGTAATATTGTGTCAGAGATTATGTGTGAATAACTGCTCCAAGTGAAAAGTGTTCATGTAAAATTGAAAATCGAAATTGTTTCAGTTAAAATTTGCATTTTGCTCAAGCATATTCCATCTATATATATATATATATATATATATATATATTTTCTCAATCTGCTTATCCTCACAAGGATCGCGGGGGGTGCTGGAGCCTATCCCAGCCGTCTTCGGACAGTAGGCGGGTGACACCCCGAACCGGTTGCCAGCCAATCGCAGGGCACACATGTTGTTTTTAGCAAATAATCACTCCCGTATCATTTCATGTCTGCAACATGTTCCGAAAAAGCTGGAACAGGTGGCAAAAAAGATTGAGGAAGTGGAGGAATCTTCATCAAACACCTGTTTGGAACATCCCACAGGTGAACAGGCTAACTGGGAACAGGTGGGTACCATGATTGGGCACAAAAAGAGCTGTCACCGCAAGCTGAAATTGCAGACTTCAACACAGACTGACAACAACTTTCCGTGATGCAGGTCACGCCCCACCGTAGGTTAAAGGTGACTTGCTTTTTCATTGTCCATCCATTCATCCATTTTCTGATCCGCTTAATCCTCACAAGTGTTGCGTGGTGCTGGAGCCGATCCCAGCCGCCTTTGGGCAGTCAGCGGGGAACTGGTTGCCAGCCAATCGCAGGGCACACAGAGACGAACAACCATCCGCGCTCACACTCACACCCCGG